AACCATTTTTTTCTATAGGTCCTTCATCTACTGGACTCGGTACCCCTTTTGCAGCTTTCAATTTTATTGAAGAAGGATTACATCCAGTAATGCATGTGTAACCATCCGGTAATCCATCTTAATATTTAAATTTTGTAAATATCGTTAATCTGAAGTCTAAGACCGTAAATTTTCCAGGACTCGAGACCAAGAACGAAAAAACCCAAGAAGACTTTTCTTGGGGTTTTTCGGTCTTGGCCTTGGGATGTAGTCTTGGGTTTACACCCCTAAGAATTGAACTCTTTTGGATTCCTTAATTTATTTTTAAAATTAAAGAAATCCGGCGCCTTAAAAATTTCCAAAATTTTCGCCCGACGCACTAAAAATCGACATTTTAGCGCCTTTGGTGAAATATGGTCAGTCGAGGTCATGAAAAAAATTTGGATTATTAAAATATTTGTCAAAATTAATAAAGTACTACTATTCCACTTGATTGTTTGTTCACAATGTGCCTAAAATAGATAAATTAGTTAAATATTCTCTTATTATCATTCATAGTACTTTATTAATATCCCGGCCACCCTATTTGAGTCTCAGATTAATTTTCCTTTTTTACTGTTAATCATTCTTTCTCTCGTAAATTTTAAGTACATGGTTAGAAAACCTCCTTTCTAAACTTTTCCTATTCTAATATGCCTTTACTTGATTGCCGGAATCTTCGTCTCTGGAACTTTCGTCTCCAAGACTTTTCGGAACATTCGTGGAATATATTCCAGCGGAATATTCGTCACCAATGAAATAAACGTAATATTTTCGCTGGAGACAAAAATTCCCAGCGGAGACGAAAATTCCGAAAATCTTGGAGACGAATGTTCCAGGGACGAAAATTCCGTACACCCCTTTACTTATGTGTGAGGGAAAGAATGATTGACAGTAAAAAAGGAAAATTAATCTGACAAAGGAGAGTGTTTTGGGTGTCCGTGGGACTTCGGGATGAAATTTGGTAGGTAGGTAGATCATACCCTTTCTATTGTAAAACTTGAAACCGTTTTCACTGAATGGCACCAGGGACCGAGTTATAAGCCCCCAAAGTTTTAGGATCCCCCAATGTTTTCTTTTCCACACATAAACAATTTCTTTTTAGTTCCTACTGTGTTCTTCGGTAGTGCAGTGGTAGCGCTCTTGAATGTATTTTTTTCCCAAGTTCGAATCCTGATTGGGGAAATTAATTTATTTTAACGCTTTTGTTTCTTAAAATTTTGTTTTTAAAATTTCTAAAAAATTTTCTAAACTTTTTTGAAATTTTTTAAAATTTTTTAAAAAACTTTCTCAAAATTAAAGAATACAAGACTTTTTCTGGAACACCCTGGGAATGAATAAAGTTAAAAAATAAATATTTAAAAAAATTAAAAAAAGTTAAAAAAAATTTTTTTGGCTAAAAACATTCGGATAAAAATCAAAAAATTAAAAAAAACCAAAATTATGGTAAAATAAATTAATTTCGCCAATCAGGATTCGAACCTGGGGGAAAAACTAAAATGCAAGAACGCTACCACTGGACCAACGCTGAACACCTTTATAATTAAAGAGAAATTGTTTATATTGGGAGATCCCAAAACTTTGGGGGCTTATAACTCGGTCCCTGGTACCATTCAGCGAAAACGGTTTCAAGTTTTACAATAGAAAGGGTATGATCTACCTACCTACCAAATTTCATCCCGAAGTCCCACGGACACCCAAAACACTCTCCTTTGTGAGATTCAAATAGTGGTGGGAGCGGGATATTAATAAAGTACCGCATCTTTACCTCCTCAACGAAGAAAAACAATTTGGGATTGTTATTTGCTCCAACTCTAAGCCATCCTTTCTTTCCAGTTGCTATTTCTTCTGCACAAATTACTTTAGCTCTCATCATTTTTTTATTCCCAATTGTCGATTGAACTCTTCCTTTGTTTCCAAACTGTTAAAAAATTAATTCTTTACAAGAAAAGTTTTTCTAGAACCGCTATTGTGGCAATTGGTCGATTTGTATAACAATTCAACACATCAGTTAAGCAACCATTTCGTTCTTCAGGTCCTTCATCTACTGGACTTGGTTGCCCATTTACAGCTTTCAATTTTATTGAAGATGGATTACATCCAGTAATGCATGTGTAACCTTCCGGCAATCCGTCTTAATATTCAAATTTTGTAAGTATTGTTAGTGTCAAGCCCTAGAGCGAAAATTTTTCAGGATTCAAGACTCAAAACCAAGACCAAGAAAGACCTAAGAAAAAACTTTCGGTCTTGGTCTTGGAGTGTAGTCTTGGATTTGGTCTCGAATTTTTGAGCTTTTCGGACTTACACCCCTAGGTTGAACTTATTTGGAAGTCTTATTTCATTTTTAAAATTGAAGAAATCTGGCTTCTTGGCCTTCAAAATTTCCACAACTTTCGCCTGACGTACTAAAACCCGATATTTTAGCGCCTTTGGTGATACATATATGTTAAGTCAATGTCATGAAAAAATTTTGGATCATTAAAATATTTGTCAAAATTAATATTTAATAATGCATACTTTTCCAGTTGATTGTTTGTTCACAATGTGCCTAAAATAGAAAACTTAGTTAAATTTTCTCTTGAAATCATTTTTGGTACTTTATTCCCCAACCTATTTGAGTCAGACCAATTTTTCCTTTTTTGCTGTTAATCATTCTTGCTGATAATCAGTTTTTTCCTTTCAAATTTTAACCCTTATAACTTGCCTTTTACTTATGTGTTATGGACAAATGATTTACGGTAAAAAAGAAAATTTATCTCAGACTCAAATAGAGGGGGGCGGGATATAAATGAAGTACCGCATTTTTACCTCCTCAACGAAGAAGAACAAGTTTGGGTTATTATTTGCTCCAACTCTAAGCCATCCTTTCTTTCCAGTTGCCTTTTCTTCTGCACAAAATAATTTAGCTCTAATCATTTTTTATTCTCAATTGTTGATTGAACTTTTCCTTTGTTTCCAAACTGTTAAAAATTAATTCTTTACTCGAAAAATTTTTCTTCTTAAACCGCTATTGTAGCAATTGGTCGATTTGTAGCACAAGTAAACACATCAGTTTGGCAACCATTTTTTTCTATAGGCCCTTCATCTACAGGACTTGGGTGCCCATTTACAGCTTTATATTTTATTAAAGATGGACTACATCCAGTAATGCATGTGTAACCTTCCGGCAATCCATCTTAATATTTGAATTTTGTAAATATTGTTAGTATATAGTACGCTTATTCTCTCCCGAGCCAGTTCCTCCTTGATTGGTTGCTTCCGGTCCTTTGTTTCCATCAATTGTTTTGGCATTTCAATCTTAAATTAAATTATATTATATAAAAATTTTGAATTTCAATTGCCAAATATTTGGAAAATTAAATTCTTTTTTGGACAATATTTATTTAGCAGGTACACCCCAATGTACCGCAAGCCCAATAACCGCAGAGCTATAACTTTGTGACCAAAATTTCAGTGCCCAATATTCCGTTTTTGACTTGGTGACCAAAATTCGGTTCTGACCAAAATTCCAAAAAAGTTGGTGACCAAAGTTCCGAAAATCCTTGGTGACCAGAATTCTAGTGACCAAAATTCCGTACACCCATCGAAAGGCGTCTCGGATCCGACCACTTTTAAAGAAGTTATAGCCCTGCGGTACATCGGGCTTTTAAACAATCATTCTTAAAATTTAAATATTAAAAAGTACCGTAGTCAATTTCGTGGTAGTAGCTTTTGTTTTAGTTTTTATTGTGGTAATTGGTGTTTTCTGGAAAAATTATAAGGTATTGCGTAAAATTTGTTATTTTAGATTTCAAAAAATTTAGACATCGAAAAAATATACCATTCCTCTTAAATAACAGCAGCACACTCTAAAATAACCCTACACTAGAAGTAAAAAAATAACCCCGTTGGAGTTATTTTATACAATTTACCGTATTTTATATAATACGATTTATGAAAATTCGTAAAAGAGGAATCTTCGTTCACTATGTATTTCCTGATTTGTTTGAGATTTAATAATTTTAGTAACACACCGTATTTCCTTGCTAATTTTTTAATATAGCCTCCTTTGAGATTGGGGTCGAAAATAGAGCCCCATAGGGTTATTAAAAATATCGTATGTCCTAAAGATCGAACTAGAGACCGAGACTCGAAAAATTTAGATCTCGATACCTAAAAATCTCGGTCGAGATCTTGCTCGATCCATTTTCTTTTATATGCCCAAATAGAATTAGAGAGACAATACTTGAAATTTGAATATCAAAAATTACCGTAGTCAATTTTGTTGGAGCTTTTATTGTTGTTTTTGTGCTGCTAACCGTTGTTGGCTTGAAAAAAGTTATAATATTATTTTTATTAATATGAACGATTTAATTTTTCCAAGACAAAATCGAATTCACGAATAGCTCGATAATACACGCCATAATCCTTTGTTATCCTAGATATCCATTTCTTAACCCACTTATTAACACCTTCAATCTAAATGAGTATATCATAGGTTTGGAAAGGTTATCGATGAATTAAGATGCTGTCGATATATTCCCTTATATCTTTTACAATCTTCTTATATCCCACACATAACTGATACCCCACCCTATGCTCCCCAAATATTTTTTTAATTGAATAAATTTAGGTGTGTTCAGTTTTGTTAACCAAAAATTTATTGGAGCTTGTAGTAGCGTTTGTGGAAGCTGCTGTTGTTGTTTCTTCTGTTTCTGTTGATGTTTCTGCTGTGGTAACCGTTGTTGTCTAGAAAAAATTTTAATGATTAATTTGAATTATTTTGATCAAATCAATTTTTCTAAGCTTCGTTTCGGTAAACAAAAAAATGCTATACCAACCAGAAAAATTTCGGGGTTTCCTTTTAGTTTAAAAAAGACAGCCCTAGGAAGGGTCTGATAAAAGAAAACGTAAAAGCATCATCACGGTAGCTCAGCGTTAGTGCACTCTGCGTGATAAGCGTAGCGACGAGCAATAACTGCAAGGAGGTTGCAGGATTGAAACTTGCCAGGGATTAAAATTTTACCTCGCTCCAGGTGTTGGTCGGAATTTTGACTTCCAAAAATTTAAGATGATTTTCGAGTTCCGACTTTCGAGCCATTTTCGATTTCCAACAGTTTTTATTTTCGACACCTTCGAAATTTCCGACCGACCCCTGCCTCGCTCTTACTTTATATTATTCTATACCTTATTGCCGTTAATATTTTGCTTATTCGTAGTTTTGATTGTACCAATCTTTGCGATAATCATCTAAATTTATTCAAAAAATTATCGCAATTCAATTACCGTATTTTCTCTATTAGAATGCCACTCCCCAGTTGAATGCCAGTCTCTAATAGAATGCCACTTTGGAAGGTGATCGAAAAATAGAATGCCACTCTCTAATTGAATGCCAGTCTCTAATAGAATGACACCCTTCTTTAATAATGAAAATTTTCCAAGTATAATAAAATATTTTATCTAAAGCTATTTCTATTGATTTCTTCTTATTTTCTGTTTATTTAGTAATATTATTAAACTAAAATGCGGCAAAAAAGTAAATGTAAGGATGATTCACTCAGCAGCATTTAAAACGCTTAGGCGGGGGGTAAACGATCTAAAAAGGAAAAAGAGAAAGCATTAGTCGATGCCCCGGTAGCTCAACGGTAGAGCTCCTGCATATGGTGAGCGAAAGCGCCTAGCAACAACTAGCAGGTGGTCGCAGGTTCGAATCCTGCCCGGTGGCTAAACTTTTGCAAACTCTTTCTGGTGCCGCTAACAGGGATCTCCACTTGCTGCTGGGTGAACCAGCCGATCCACGGTCATGGCGCTTGACCGAGGGACCGGTCTGATGTAGGGATGGAGATGTAAGGATGATTCACTCAGCAGCATTTAAAACGCTTAGGCGGGGGGTAAACGATCTAAAAAGGAAAAAGAGAAAGCATTAGTCGATGCCCCGGTAGCTCAACGGTAGAGCTCCTGCATATGGTGAGCGAAAGCGCCTAGCAACAACTAGCAGGTGGTCGCAGGTTCGAATCCTGCCCGGTGGCTAAACTTTTGCAAACTCTTTCTGGTGCCGCTAACAGGGATCTCCACTTGCTGCTGGGTGAACCAGCCGATCCACGGTCATGGCGCTTGACCGAGGGACCGGTCTGATGTAGGGATGGAGATGTAAGGATGATTCACTCAGCAGCATTTAAAACGCTTAGGCGGGGGATAAACGATCTAAAAAGGAAAAAGAGAAAGCATTAGTCGATGCCCCGGTAGCTCAACGGTAGAGCTCCTGCATATAGTGAGCGAAAGCGCCTAGCAACAACTAGCAGGTGGTCGCAGGTTCGAATCCTGCCCGGTGGCTAAACTTTTGCAAACTCTTTCTTAAACTAAAATGCGGCAAAATTGCAAATCCGAGATCCCGTAACGAGATTTTCTAAAAGTGTTAAGGATTTTTCCTTAAATTTTTACGTAATAGAGACAGTGATAAAGTGAACTTGAGTTAAATCACTGATGTCGTGGGTTGAAGGGATTAAGAAGAATTCAGAGTGATTTCGGGGGATTTGTAGCGATTAATAAGAATATAAGTGGATTCAAAGGAAAAAGAGAATATTGAGAGGTAAAGAGATATCAGTGGATTAGACGGAATTTAGAGAAATATCGGGAATTATAGGGAATAAATAATTCTATCTTTGGAAGAGTAGAGGGCATAATAGGAAATCTCCAAATCTTCTTACACTACAAATTACTTGATATCACCCTAATCTCTGCTTAATACAACTTAATCATCTAAATCTTTAATATCTCCACCATATCCTCTCAATCAGCAAATCTAGCTTTTCTTCAATCATCGATACCAGCTCTCTTAATACATCAAAATCTAACAAATCCCACTTAACTTCTCAAAATCCTCGTTATCCCTCGAATTTGTTAAACCTTAAAAACCATTCTAAAGCAAATATGTAATTTTCGTATTCAAATTAAATTCGATTTTAGCATTTTTCCTATGTCAGGATGAACCTAAATTTTTAGACAAATTGAATTTGCTAGACGAAAATTTTTTATAGTTTCAAAATTCAGACATCGAAAAATAGAATGCCACTCTCCAGTTGAATGCCAGTCTCTAATATAATGCCACTTCCGAAGGTGATTGAAAAATAGAATGCCATGGCATTCTAATAGAGAAAATACGGTAAATTTCAACCGTTTCGCAAGTTCCAGTACTATCTTCATTATCCTTATATGAGATATAATCTTCCAAAAAACCCCCATCAGCAATATTCTTTTCAATATCACTCGAAAATTCAGCATATTTATTATATCCATTATCACATTCCTTACATTCTTTACAAGCAAAACTATTCCCTTTTACTTGAAATCGTCTAGCCAATTTCGAATTTGGAAAACCATCAACTTTGCCCGGACAAACTTTAAATCTGTTAGAATATACAAATAAATTCATTGTTTAATTTAGAGACCGGACCGGATTCAGATCACGATCGAAAATCTCGGTTATCGAGATTAGGATTGGATTTTTCGAAACGGGCAGTTCGAGACTTTTTCGAGCAAAAATTCAAGGGCCGGTTCCATCTTTCGAACCGGCCCCCAACCTAAGCGAGATCAAGAATTCTTTGAGATCTCGATTCTCGTCTATTCTCTGGCTCTAATTTAATTTGCCAAAATTCCATTAATTTCATTAAAATAAGTCTAAAAAACTAACAATTTATCAGTCTCTCCTCCTTTTACAAACAAAAATATTTTAAATATTAAGAAAATAATAAAGAAATTGAAAAGCATTTTAAAATTAAAAAAACTTCAATTTTACCGGAAAAAGGAATTTTAAAGATAATTTTATTTTAAATTTTCAAATATCTTTTCAACCAATTAAATATTTACAAAATATTTTTTTAATTATAAATTAAAAAAGCTTATATATTTTATTTTCTATTAATTAAAAATAAATTAAAATTAATATATAGAAATGAACATAATTTGAGTAATAAAATAATTAATTAGTTAATTTATCAACGTCAAAATCGGTACATTTGTACATAATTAATAATGTGTTTGGATAAAAGTAAAAATTTTTTTAATCGACCACACAAAGTTATGTTATTTTTTCGAATTTATTTCGATTAAATAAACAGTAAATTGATGAATAATACAGTCACGGACAAAAGTTTGGACGCAAACATTTTTCCAACTTTTTTTTGAAATATTTTTATTAAAATCGATAATTTAAAAAAAACATTTTTTTGTAAAATATTGCTCCCTTTATGAACTTTAATATACATAAACAAAATACTCATAAACTTTATAAAAAATTTTTTTTAACCAAAAAGGGGGTGGACAAAATTTTGACGCAAATTTTTAATAAAAATATCTCATAGTATAATGTTCCAAAAATTCTATAAAAAATTCTGTGAACATTTCCATTGATATTGAGTAGAAAAGAAAAAAGAACGAAATCAGAAGCTTCTTTTTCATCGAGATCTCGAACCTCAAAAATCAACGGAAAATGGGGGTTCAACGGAAAAAAGGTGGAAAAATGTTTGCGCCCAAACTTTTGTCCGTGACTGTATTTGTAGTGCTGTGTTGTGTAATTAATCATGTTTACTTAGGTACTTTCATGATTAATTAGGAAAGTACCCAATGTAGAAATAAACAATGTGTAGGCGAAGGGAATGTGACAGACGAAGGAGATCAGTGACTAGCCCCGCTAGTATGGTCCGATTAGACTGACGCTTACTCTGGCTTTTATACAAAATCTTTAAGTACTGACGCCCATACACAACATACTTTTAAATGATTCTCAAACAATTTAAATTATATCAATCGAAAGCTCTGGATGAGAAGATTATTTTAGTTGACAAGATTAATGTAGTTAGACCATTCTGCAAAAAGTTATACTCGAATAAGTTCGCAAAATCGTCCTTTACAGTAAAATATCCAAAGGACATTCTGCCATAATTGTAACATTTTGCCAAAGATTAATAATGTGGAAAATTTCAATAGGGTAGCTCCATGTCCCCCGACCCCAAACCAAAAGTCAAGCCCGAAACACAAAATGCCCTCCCCGGCAAAATGCGATCCCCGACACTTCCGACCCCGAAGGCTCGGGGATACCCTAGTTTTAATAATTAGATTGGGTTCTCTTTTAAAATATTAAAAGACTTTTAATAAAAAGTTTATACACAAAAACTTGTTAAAGAATTTAGAAAATTAAAATTGCTTAAAATTATAAAAAATACAAAATAAAAGACAAAATGAAGATTGTATAACAAAAAATTGTAATTGTTTTTATGTTGTTTCATTTAACATGTAGAAGATTTTATTTTAATGAGCATTCAATTTTTAACGCGTATTAGTAGCCGTTGTTTAAATATCATCATCTTCATCAGAATTTTTCTAAATAAACTTATTATTAAGAAAAAAATGAAAGCCATTAATAACGATTATTAAGTAAGAAAGTCTGGCTAGTGTGTGAACCGGTAGTAGGGATTAGAATGGATTGCCGGTAGAAGGGATTAAAACAAATGATCATAACTTTGTTCATTTAAGTCATATTTCGTTACTTTAGTGTCATTAAAAATTTGGGAAGGAAGAAGGGAGTCTGTAGGCTTACCTTGGCATTTTGTAAATAGTACTATACACTAGGGTTTCTGTTTGTTGGATAATCTCCGGATTTTGGTTCTTACATATATCAGGAACCAACAACCCCGTCCTGAAAATGGTATTAAAATTAATGCTTACAGCAGTTTCAGATTCATCATCATTTTCCGAAATAAATGTTGAAAAGTCCCCATCAAAGGGGGCGAAATATTGTGATGCAAAAGCTCCCAAATCACAGTTAGGCTGTTTATTCTCCTTATTTATTTCCTCATCAGGCAAACTTTGGTTACAATTTTGTGATGTGGAGGGTAAACTGTCTAACTCAACTTTACGACGCTTAATTGTTGTTTCTGTATTTTTCATAGAATCTCTTGGCACACGAAACTCCGGGTGATATTTATTCAAATGACGAGACCAATTCGTACTGGTAACTTTTCTCTGGCAATCATTAATCGTGCAAATTCCATCTTTTGGTGTAGGGACAAGGCACTTGAAATATTTTCTTTTTTGAACTTTGTTTTTATTTTCAACAAAAGCTTCTTAAATTAGAAAATTTTTTTAATGTTAAAATTATAAATTTAGACTTTAAAACACCTAGTGATAGGAATTATCCAGAAAAAAGATTTCTATAATTGCCCAATTATAGCGTTATTTTTGCAAATTTTTGAAAAA